GTATATATATATAGGATTTCAAGTAGAATAGACTAAACATGTACCTTAAAACTAGCCCAGGAAAGTCTGACCATATCAGGAAAGGATTACCAAGCAGCACCCAATCTTGGTCAGCATATGACAAACCATGACTCAGCTGAGTCAGAAGCTGACTCAGCACTGCTAAGATGACTAATATGACTCAGAAAGCTGGCCTAGCTAAGGAGTATAAAATGTAGCCGAATCGGCATGAATGAGCAATCAATCAGTTCCACTCTAATCGCGCCCGGCAGTCGTCTGCCGAACCCTCTCTGTCAGGCCTCGAGTGCCTGGACAGCTCCTCTATCGACTCTACACAGCCGCCGTAGGCTGTTCGAATTCGTTTCTCTCGCTCTACCGTCTTCGCGACCAAAGGAACAACTGACCTCTCTCTCTCTTCTTTTTTTTTAGGAACTTCGACGCTCGACGCGTCTCACAAGACCTCCACACAGGATCCCTCAAGCCTTCCATTTAGGCCCACTCACATCTTACCTTTTATAGGAATCGCCGACGAGCTCACAAGAAGCTTGTCCCATCAAATTCAAGTCAGGTTCAATAACCGACGGCCAACTGAGCAATCCCCGACTTAGGTAGCCCGGGACCTCAGGAGTTTGTGCTTTTGGCAGAAGAAGCTGAAGAATCGGCACTACACCTCTATCGCCTCAAGAATTCCTCTCGCCTCTTCGACACAGCCTCACCACACAAAACTCGTTTCGACACCGCGTCTGTGCGGCTTTCTGCGCGTCCCATTCCTTCCGTAGCGTCGCCATCGACTTCCCACACTTGACGAGACCTCGTTCAGCCACGATTGCGCGAGAGCGGCAAGCAAAATATTTATTAGCTAGCCAATCTCCGAGGCTACGCCGCTGAACTGCATCGAGATGATGTATTTGCGTGTCGATGACATACAACCTTTGATGAAACTGAAGAACAATGAGCTTCGGATTATATTTCACAAGGATGAACATCACCTACCCCGCTCACGCGAAGCACTGCGACTAAATGATCGATTGCACTCCAAAACCTCTCGCAGCTTTCTCCATCCGACAGTCCAAAACAATTGCACTTGCAAGGGTGGTAGATGACCTGGCACGGCCATTGATGACCGTAGGCGTGGAAGACAGAGATTCCGAACGTGATGCGTTTGCGGAATTCTGGCAGCAAATTCCAATGCCAGCAGCTGCGATCCAACTGGCATCCGATATCGTAGAGTACTCCCACGCGCATGTAGGACGGTATATGACGGAAGAATTGGTCCAGAAGAGCGATTGCATAATGCTGTCGCTCTCCCGCACTCGTCATGTTGGCAAGCCATAGCACACGGTCATGGCGGCACATGAGCGCCATGAGCCCCGTATCGTCGAAGAACCGGGTGCTCGCTTTCTCCCGTTGTTCATCCGCTGCCTTGAACGATGCCTCGCAGCCGTCCAGTACGGAGTTGGGAACCTTCAGAGGACCTTCGCAAGTATCTTCCTCCTCCACAATCTCAACATGCGGTGATCTTGAAGCGGGCTGAGGCCGTCCGCTCGTCCGCTTGTCTGTTGCAGGTATCTGAATATGGGCCTTCGATGTGGTGCTCTTTCGTTTGCGCACATTCTGATCCGATACATGATGTCCTGCCTCCATATTCTCGGCTCTTGATTCAGAGACCAGGTTCGGTGTGATCTTTGGGTCTCTTTTTCGTGCTCGCGCATTCGTAGGTTGCATTACACGATACGGTCGCCCTTTTCGTTTCTCCTCGACCTCCCTCTCCATGTCTTTGACCTCGGACTCCGTTAGAAATACCGAGGCGGGATGGCGCCGGACAGGGTCTCTACCGGCTGCAGCGCAACGTTTTTGCGTAAAGCAAGCATCTAAACACACTATCACGTCGAGTCTAGCATACCGATTAGAGAAAGTCACAATATTTTCCTGTTTTACTCACTCATCGCTGTCTTCACGCCGTACACTTGCGCCGAAGCACAGCGGACATCTTGAGCGCAGATAAGCGCTCACAGATTTGGGTGGCGATGCCTTGGCTTGAGAAGTCACAGGCGGGTCCGTGGGTAGGGTTGAAGCACCGGTCGAAGAAGACACTGCAAAACGGAGAGAAATGAGAGCCTGAGGTGATTAATGCAACATCGACATACCTCTCGGTGTCGACCCTTTGCCTTCGGTCGTCTCAGGTACTGCAGGGCGATTTCGGGCTTTCGGTGTCGCCGGAGTGACACGAGAAGGAGACCCTTGAGCCGAGAAGGAGGATGAGCGTCTGAGGCAACCAATCCAACGTCAACATACCTCTCGGCGTCCGCCCTTCACCTTCGGTAGTCTCGGGTACTGCAGGGTGATTTCGGGCTGTCGGCGTTGCCGGAGCGACATGAGAAGAGGATGCTGTGAGCCGGGAAGGAGGGATGAGCGTCTGGGGCAACCGATCCAACGTCAACGTACCTCTCGGTGTCGACCCTTCGCCTTCGGTAGTCTCGGGTACTGCAGGGTGATTTCGGGCTGTCGGTGTTGCCGGAGCGACATGAGAAGAGGACGCTGTGAGCCGGGAAGGAGGGATGAGCGTCTGGGGCGATTGATCCAACGTCAACGTACCTCTCGGCATCCACCCTTCGCCTTCGGTCGTCTCGAGTACTGCAGGGTGATCGTTGTCCGACATTTCTACTTCCCGTTGGCTCATGTCCTCCCTTGCAGCTTCTAGGGCTTGCCAAGTCTTCTGCTTGACACAGTTCACAAGGTGGATATACCAAGTGAGTGCATTCCCAAAGCGCCTCCGCAACGAGTCCTATTCATCAAAAGCTATGTTTAGCGTGACCATCGTCAGCATTTGGATGAGGCTCACCCGAGTTTCAAGGCGATATTGGCGGACACCTAAGAATGACTCCAGCGTAGTCGCCCATGCCGTAATGTTCGGCGCGACATTAACGAATAGTGTCGCGATGAGTTCAAGCATGTTCAAGTCGAATGCGAGCGATGGTGATTGAGGGGCGCACGGGAACAAGCCACGGGCCAGTAATTGACGGGCTACGGGCATGCATGAACATATGGATAGCTCAATTTTCTCCAGGCCTATCGCAAAGGTCGATCAGTTCGGATAGAGGTAGAAGAGGGCCATGGAAGGGGCTCACGATCACAGAACACCGCCAATACTTTCAGAATCCTTCTGCCTCCAGCGCAGCTGCAATCAGGAACTGGTGGCGCCTTGGTGGTCATATGGGACGTGGCCCACATGTATGTCATGTAAGGCTCTAGGAGGTCCGGGATGGTTTCCGATTGCCATCGTTGCCATTGATTCAGCTTCTTTCGGGCGTATTGCGCCTGATGGACCATACTGTTGTCATCATTATGGCTAGGAAAATGGAGAGGAGATGCGAAGCGGCCAGCTATGGGTGTGGAGAATGGCATCGAGTGATCTTCCTGGATTGCCATATCGACTCCTTCCGTGCCTTCGTCATTGCCTGCATTTTCATCGCGTTGAGGCAGATCATTTTCGAGGAGAGGGAAATCTTCATAGACCAGACTAGTCGTGCCGCGGTAGTGGCCAGTTTGCACTAGAGTACGGTGATTAGGTAGATGCACAACGGGGGGCGGATGGTTCGTCTCAACGGAGAATTTTCCGCTCCGAGAGATTGAAGGCCCCTCTTCCAAGTTTCGATGGCTGCTGGAGGGGTCACGAGCAGACCGCAGAAATGATCTTGGGATTTTCAGAGCCATGGAAGCTTCGTCGTGGTTTCAGACCAGAAGTATGAGGAGTCAGGACGTCCAAGATTTTGCGGTTCAGTATTTTCACGTTCGATATTTTCAAAGTACCTCATCATGTCCTTATACTCTTCGCGGAATACTTGGATATACATAGATACTTTACTACAGACAAACGAGGACACAGTGCTGATACGAACACTCGGCGAGGCATCAAGTTTTACATGAGTGGTTCGAGAAAGACACGTTTGCAAGCTACAGCGCGTGCTACGTTCAAGAGAGCTCGCTTCGGTTCGATTGTCGTCTACCATGGCGTGCTTTGGATCCGTCGTCGTCCACAAAGCGTCTTCGGGTCCATCGTCGTCCGCGACGTGCCGAAGGACTAAACGGGTTGGGCATGCGAGGGCACAAGGTGGACCCATCAAGGTACATCGAGAACCTACTTCGATGTGTTAGTTCAAACGATACGTTGCTGAGGATGAAACACGTTACCAGGATGGAGGTTGTGAAGAACAAATAGCGGATGACTGAACCGTAGTAAATGGTTAGGCTCAAGTCGGGCTTTTGATCAACAATCCCACGTGACCTGGGCTCCGACAAGGGTTTAACTTGCTGTCCTCCTTGGCTTACCATCATTCTGTCCTCCTCGTCTCACCATCATTCCGTCCTCCTCGTCTTACAATGGAACGTTCACGCCATCCGCGTCAGTACATGCTGTGTACGGTGCTAGCATGAGACTAACCAGTTTCATACTAGGCTTCGTGCACAATCAAGAAGCACGCCGTATGTCTCTCGCCGTAGTACGTCTCGTGCCCATGCCTCCAGACATCACTTACTTCTTCTCAGTTGTGCGCCCTTGGACGATATCATCAGGACGCATCTGAGGTAGACGACGTACTCGATGCGCTCGCCCCACGTTAAACAACGGATTTGACGCACGGTCGTGCCGCAGCCGTCTGATGATACGTGTTCCCTCCGCAGTTGACGGGCTCGATGGGTGCTGCCCGTGGACGGTGGGCGGGCTTTCATTTCTTCTGCGCCGGATGTGCTTACTATGCGTAAGCAGGAACTGTAATAGCATTCAATACCTACACCCCGCCATGAGACTGACCAGTTTCATGCTAGGCTTTGTGCACAATCGAGAAGCGAATTGTATATCCCTCGCCGCGGTATGTCTCGTGCCCGTGTAACCTGTAGACATCGCTTACTGTTTCTCAGTTGTGCGCCCTTGGACGATGTCATCAGGACGCGTTGGAGGTAGACGGCATACTCGATGCGCTCGCCCTGCGTTAAACAGCGGATTTGACGCACGGTTGTGCCGCAACTGTCTGATGATACGTGTTCCCTCCGCAGTCGATTGTATGTCCCTCGCCGCGGTACGTCTCGTGCCCGTGTAACCTCTAGACATTGCTTACTATTTCTCAGTTGTGCGCCCTTGGACGATGTCATCAGGACGCGTTGGAGGTAGACGGCATACTCGATGCGCTCGCCCGCGTTAAACAGCGGATTTGACGCACGGTTGTGCCGCAACTGTCTGATGATACGTGTTTCCTCCGCAGTCAATGGGCTCGATGGGCGCTGTCCATAGACGATGGCGGGCTCTCCCCATAGACAATGGGGCAGGCTCTCTATGGACTATGGACTTGGTAGGCACGCAGTCTGTAGACAATGTATTTGATGCGTTGAGAGGTGGCCACCTCACGAAGGTTCAATATGCTTCCACGCCTGCTGAGCCGCGCCACAATTTGCCTCCGTGTCTATGTTTATACATTATTATGTTGCCCTTGTCTATCTCCGCAATGCCATCGGGTCATCGTCCTTTTCAACAAGCTACTGGCCCAGTAAGAGCAGTTTACAGTTCTAGTGCTTTGAGAGATTGCGGGAAAATGGTTGTTCAATTATACTTCCGCGAGAGTCAAGCCACGCCACAATTTGCCTCCGTCTCTATGTTTATGCATTATCATGTTACCCTGGTCTTTCTCCGCAATGCCATCGGGATATCGTCTTTTGTGACAAGCTACTGGCAATTTTAGAGTGCTTGTGTGCTTTGAGAGGTTGCAGGTGGCAAGGGAAAAAGATTGTTCAATATACTTCCGCACATGTTGAGCCGCGACACAATTTGCCTCCGTTCGCACGTTATGTCGCCCTTGACCCTTGTCTCTCACCATCGTCGTCCTTTGTGACAAGCTACCAGCAGCATCGGAGCGCTCTGAGCACTCTGTTATATCGGAAGCTAGCCGTATTATCCGTCCATATTCTCGTGATGGAACCCTGAACTATCACCTTGCGAGTACGCAACAAGGTTTCTCGAAAGTGTATTGTGAGAGGTAAGTCAACATGATCTCGGCACCTGGCTTGACATATGTACATACGTCTATGGTCTAACACATCATGGCTGTTTGTTTCAGCGTCATAGACCTGGCAGTCGATCATGCGCAGCTTCACCGCTTATCCCAGCTCCTGTGCGGATCACGACTAAACAGCTATCCCGGATCTGTCATCGCTATGTGTCCTGGTTCGTTCAGCAGCTCGCTGTCACCGACACTGCTGAAGTCAGCACCCGTTCTGATATGCCGGTGCTCGTACAGCTTTCTCCGGCCTTGCTTTCTCGCCGCCAGGCTCATCCCGTTGTGGCGTCTGCGAAAGGTGCCACATATCCATAGTATAGAGGTGAGTTTGCACCGTCTCGATGCAAATATCTACGTGGTCTAAACCACCGCTTTTGCAGGCCGTCTATTCCAATATCTCGTACCCGGTCCGGTGCTCGCCCGTGGGCAGCGTCGGTGCATTCAAAGATTCCGGGATGATCGACGATACCCCGGATACATCATTGCTATGCCCGGGATGGTTCAATATTGCCGAGGCTGGCGCCATGGCCTCAGGCGGCAATAACATACTGTTTGCGGACAGTCCAAGTTGCTCATTATCCTGAATTATCACGAAGGGGTGAGGATGACACGAAATCGGACGCCGGACATTGTAGGCTGAGAATCGCTCTTGGATATCGCCTAGGTAAGTAAGCACCGTTTCTGTACATACATCCATGTAATCTGATTTGCCGCTTTGCAGGCCGTTCATCCCAACATCGAACGTCCCTCAAGTGCCCAGTTGCGCGCAGTTTCCCAGGCCCACACATCAAATACGCTACGCCGTCACCCCCGTCGCCGGAGGTATCCCGATCCATATTGGGAGAGGTAAGTCAACATGATCTAGGCGCCTGGCTTGACATATGGCTATAATCTAATACGCCGCGGCCATTTGCTTCAGCATTATATACCTCCAGCGGTTGATTGTGTGCGGCTTCACCTCCCATCCCAGCTCTACATGATTGCAATGAGACAGCTATCCTGGATCCGTCATTTCTATGTCCTGATCCGTTCGACAACCCACTGTCGCCGACACTGCTGAAGTCAACACGCGCTCTGATACACCGGTGCTCGTACAGCTTTCTCCGGCTTTGCTTTCTCGCCGCCAGGCTCATCCCATCGCGGCGTCTGCGAAAGGTGCCACATATCCATAGTATAGAGGTGAGTTTGCACCGTCTCGATGCAAATATCTACGTGGTCTAAACCACCGCTTTTGCAGGCCGTCTATTCCAATATATCTCGTACCCGGTCCGGTGCTCGCCTGTGGGCAGCGTCGGTGCATTCTAAGATTCCGGGATGATCGACGATACCCCAGATACGTCATTGCTATGCCCGGGGATCGTTCAGTATTGCGTAGGCTGGCGCCATGGCCTCAGGTGGTATTAACATATCATTTGCACTGCGGACGGGTTCAAATCGATTATTGCAAACATAAGCGCGGCGAGATGATGCGCAATTGGACGCTGGACGTTGTAAGCTAGGAATCGCTCTCGTCTGAATTTGGCTAATGATTGCACAGTTACAGGTTACGCAGGGAGCCCTGGTACAAACCAACGTGGGTATAGATACAGCAACCCCCGCTCGGCGCGCTGAATAACACATGAGTCCTGACCGCAATGTATTTCTGTCACATACCTGGAAGCTCGCACATCGTTCAGCCATATCCATTGAGGAGAAGATGTTCGCATGGCAGAAGACGTGAAGTAGGTAAGTCCGCGGACTCATTTTCATCCTGAAATGAAGACGACGGAAGTTGTGCATATGAAACTGTAGGCTAAGTCGATGGGCGGCATATCGGTCCTTGTAGGACTCGTGTTTCGAGAGGTACTTCAAAAGCATCTTCGCCTCAAGACCGGCAGATTCATGAGTGAGTGAATTGGGAAATATGACGGTGTGGATTCTTACCTCTCGGAAACGATTCTTCCACACTAGAAAGAACAGGTGGGCAATCGGGGACGCATCTAATCGATTATCACCAGCGGCAACGCCGCCTTCAGCCCTCAAAATAACGTTGATGCAATCCGTGAGTTCATCGTCATTTGAGGGAACGTGCTCTGAAGCAAGGACTTCACGCCACCGTTCAACGCAACGATTGAACTGGTTACTCAGACGCTGACAGTTGTGTTAGCCGTGTCTACATCGCACATATCACAAGTCAAGACGTACATTCTGGCCGACGAAGCCGATGTCCATACCACCGACCTCCAAAAGCCAATCGATGTACATGGCCGTGGACGTGTTAAACATGGCTTGCTCCCTGTGGTAGAAGAACAGCTGCTGGAGTAGGATAGTGTTCACCCCGTATAGATTGTTGAGAGTGTCCTCTTTGAGCAACAACGACATTAACATGCCGATCTGGTGCGTTCGTCAGCAGACTATCTCCTACAACAAGCATGACCTAACCTGTAGGCACTTCGCAGTGACGATCGCGACACGTTGGCTTTCGATGCTGTTCCATGGATCCTCTTGGGCATCCTCTGAGGGGGGATGAAGTGACATTGAGTCAAAGGGACCTCAGGCGTGCACATGAGGAGAATATCTTCAAGTTCAACAATGCGCCCCGGCATTCATGTGTCTCGCAGGTTCCGCAGGAGCATGTGGTCGCAGAGGCACGTTACAACTTGGAACTTCGCATCAATCACTGCATGGCGGAATATCCAACGAGCCAGACGAGCACATCATCTGAACGATCCGCGGCCTCGATCTTCCACACCGCAAGCACCATTTCCCTATCTTCCGGATCTACCGTTATCGGAAGCCCTGCTTCCCGTCTGCGCTACGGGACCCGTGCAAGAGGGACTATTGGGTGTTAGAGATCAGCCCAATGGCCGCGGTACCTTGACTTCCAGCACGGAATGTAAAGGAACATGGCCGACGTCCCAGCGTCACGTAGTCGCGGACTTCTCTGCTCAACTTGTACCGGAGCATGCGGTCGCAGGGGCACATTACGACCTGAAACTTCGCATCAATCACTGCACGTCGGAATAGCGCCAATGAGTCAGACGACGGCATCATCTGGAGCAGTCCACAGATTCCATCTTCCACGTCGCGGACGCCTTCACACCTATCTTCTGTATCATTGTATTTTCGGTCCGATAAGCGTGATCTTCGGCTGCGATTCCGGCAAGAAAACACTCGATCTACCAATAGCGCCGGATCCCTGGTGTTTCCACTGCCCGTGGACCTTCCTACGCATCACGTCAAGCTCGTCGAACCAAGCACCAGCGGCCCTATTCAAACGGAAGCATGAAACCACCAGGAGTAAGGGCGCATTTACCAACAGGTCGATTCGTGTACTAAAATGTCACTTTGGTAGTCGCGTGCCACAAAAGAAATGAACGCGTTGGGCCCAACAACCCAGAGTGGCCGGCCATCGCGACTGAGAAAAGCTGTGAGTGAGGATGCGACTGTTAAATCGTCTGCAGTGGTGACGCAATCCTGCAGAACGACAACACAGTTGTGATCCCGGAGCAAGCAGTGACAACAGGTGGACCTGCGGACGCTGGACCCATCACAACGAGGGCCTCCGCGAGGCGGGCCGCTGCGAAGGTCGCATCCGTCAAAGAATCCAGCAAGAAGGTGTGGCTTCTTTCTACGTGCTATTCGAGCCGAGCTAAGAGCCTTTTTCTCACAGAACTCAGGGCAGAAGAAAGCGCAAACTTCACGGAAAGTTCCTCCCGGTAAGAAGGGGGGTGAAAAGCAAGGGGCCTCCAATCCTCCAGAAGAGACATCTGCTCCTAAGGTTTGTCTTCCGGCGTGTGAGTTTGGTACGGAGCTCCCACTGACGACCCTTCAACAGAACGACATGCAAGTGGCATCAAAGCGCAAAGGCGACGGTGGTCTTGACCCGGCTCCTCAGGCTGCAAAAGTGTCTCCTGCACCACAGGTCCGTTTTGCGGCACATTCAACCTACGCCACGGCTGACGATCATCCAACAGAACGGCGTGCAAGCACCACCGGAGTGCGAAGGCGACGGCGGTCTTGACCTGGCTACTCAGGCTGCAAAAGTGTCTCCCGCACCACAGGTCCGTTTCGCGGGACCAAGACCGCCGTCGCCTTCTCGCTCTGGTGGTGCTTGCGCGCCGTTCTGTTGGACGATCGTCAGCTGTAGTGTAGGTCGATGTGCCACGAAACGGACCTGTGGTGCGAGTGACACTTTTGCAGCCTGAGGACCGGGTCAAGACCGCCGTTGCCTTCTTGCTCTGGTGGTGCTTGCGGGCCGTTCTGTTCGAGGGTCGTCAGCCGTAGCATAGGTCGAATGTGCAGCTCCTCACATTGGAAACCTCTCGCCCGCATCCCAGGCACCAGGCACAGGTACCAAGTACGACGAGAGGGTGGCAGCCGCCTTCGCGAAGATAGATGTTGCAATGGGGCGCCCCCCCCCTGCGTCACAAACCGTGAGCCCGGCCGGCAGTGGAGCTTCAAACACGACACCAAGTATCCCCCAGCGTGCGTCACATCCTCGTGATTCCCCTGGGAATCCATTCCGCGTCGCTAGAAGCGGAAGCTGTATCCCCGATACTCCCAGAAGCTCACCGGAGTCTCTGTCTCGTGCTCCACGGACCTCTCCTCCATCGTCGCCATCTCACCCGCCCAGCTCTCCTTCCCATGCCCGACTGCCGAGACGAACTCTGGAGATGCCAGATGAAGAGGATCTGGAGGTGCCCGAGGAGCCGGTGGATGACATGCCGGAGCTCGTGTCAGAAGCAGAGGAGGAGGAGGAGGAGGAGGAGGAGGAGGAGGAGGAAGAGGAGGAGGAGGAGGAGGAGGAGGAGGACCATGACCCCGAGCTGTTTGCGAAGCTATATATGTCCCCTGGAGTTGCCGACAGCCAAGGCGTGCACGTCGAGATAGAAGAAAGTGAAGGCAGCGGCTCAGATTACCAACAGCCCTCCGAGAGCGAGAAATCCGATGAGGAGGCAGAGGTAGTTGGAGGGGCTTCCGAGGTCGAAGAGGTGCTCAAGAACCGCACTCGCAAGGATGGCAAGGGTGTTGCGAACAGCACTAGGCGTGGTAAATCCAGAGCAAGGACGACAAGCAAGAGTGCTAAGATCGGCGAAGAGAAAGAGCCATCGAAGAAGCGCGGTCGGAAAGGTCGCAAGGACGCTAAGCTTGCGGGCGACGACGGCACGATTGGCGGCGAAAATCCAAAGCGTTCCTCACAGCCTGGTCGGATATCAAAGGAGCACGAGGAGATGGTTGCCAAGTTCAAGGGGGAGATGGACGTGTTCATCTCCAAGATGGCGAAACTGACTCAGAAGTCGCCGGCAACAATCGCGCGACTCCTCCAGGATGATGGACCAGCGAAGCATCGCGCCAGAAACATATGGGATGTATTCTCGTCATGGTACGCCCTGGAGCATCCCATGAAGACCGATGGCACTGGTGAGTTTGCTGATTTACGGGTATGCCACCAATTATCGCGCGCTGACTGTGGCTATAGAGACAAGAGAGACATACATGCAGCGGCTCAAGGCCGCATATCGCGAGTCAATTAGCAAAATTACAGATAAAGAGAAGAGAGAAGAAGCAAAGAAAAAGTTCATGGAATGGCGTATCGACCAAGAAGAGGCTTATATCGAACATCTTGCCAAGACCGGTAAACTATCAACCGAGTTCAATCGCGGCGTGGCCGAGGTGAACAGTCTGGTATGTCCGAATCGCTCGGCGGCCGAAGAATTGAGATTAAACTTATCATACTACACTGCGCAGGCACGGCACTTGTATCATACTCTAGGTGTGCACGTCTTTGGCTACGTTATCGATGCGCATGGTCCTTGCGGATTCACTATGTTCGGTGGGTCGCCCGAATGGGAGGAAATCAAAAGGTTGTATGTAAAGGATCACTTCGGTACAATGGCCAATTACCAGGCCGTCATCCGGTATGACGTCTTCCATCATGCTGATGTACTTTCTGACACGATCTCAGGGTTATCGAGCTTCGAAATGCTGGCCTGCCCGTCCCCGAGCTTCCGCGCCCTACAATCAACGGCTACGAGATACCATCTCAGAAGCAGGGTGAGATTGAGAGAGACTGGCACCAGCGCATCTTCGTCACTATTATCAAGCAGAAATGCGGTACGTATGGATATATGGAATGTGGCGAGTCTGACCTCCGTCCTTAGCCGAACTCGGTGTCATTCTGGATCGGTTTCCTTGGAACCGAATCTTGGAGTTCTTGGCGTTGAAGAACCTACGTCTCGTCAACATGCACCCGCTGTTTCTTTTGAAGAAGACGAAGCAGGGCACGTTTGGCTTCGAATTTCGCAACGACGACGTTGAAGATACCGTCAAGATGATTGTGGAGCCCTTTATGGCAGAGAACGTACTGGGCTGCAAATTCCGTGTCGAGCCGTGGTCGAAAGGTCGGTATCGATGGTGTGTTGATAGACAAGTGAGAGATGTTGACATCGATCGTCAGAGGAAATCGATATGCGCTGGAGTGACAAGGGCAACCTGCCTCTGATCCTGTGCTGGCCTCTCACAGATAAGGAAGCCACCGTTCTTCACAACGAGCGCAAGCAGGCCGTCACGTATTGCCTGAACCAGACCAAGGTCTGGTATCGACAAGTTGTGAAAGAAATGGGCGGGGGTGTCAACGACATCGAGACCGGCGGCCTCGACCTCTACACGATTGACAACAATGATGATCACGTCGACAGTCACAAGGCAGAAGACGGAGGATACGAAGCCGGCCAAGAAGCAGGGCAAGGCAACGATGATCTTGCCTTCAGCGAGAACAGGGTCGACGACGGATACTTCGGCGATTCCTTCGCTAACGACCACGACGAGTTCACGGCGGCGTACTCTAAGGAACCGTTGATTGGCCAGGAAGAATTCGGCAAAGTTAGCAATGACGAATACGGGGTGGACGACTACGACAAAGACGGCAACAACAACGAGCATCACCCCGGTTCTGATGTCCAAGCTGGCCCATCGGCGGACGGCTCAAATAGACGACCAGACGATGGACCGGAAGGTTGGCCAGAGGATGCGGTAGATGGCCAATCAGAGGACGGCGAAGCTGCTAGGGTACCGGACGACGAGGCCGTTGAGTACATTCTTCCTTTCGCTCATCTTCCTTGCTGATGCTTGTACGAAGATGGACCAGAGTCGTGGAAGCGATGGAACTGGGGACTTCGGATACCAGGACGTGTCGCCAGCACAGAACCGCGCTAACGAAGTCCCGAACGCTGTCCAAGACCACGGCGAGGATGCAGCCTTGCTCGCTAGCAGGGCTCGCATGATGGAGATGCAAAAGCGCGCGAAGACCACTCAGAAACCTCGTGGCCGGTCGGTTCTGCGTGGTGATGAGCCCATGACTGCTCCTGCTCCTACCGGCGCTGCCTCCACCGACAGTCGTGGTCATCACATCATTGCTCAGACTGGAAGCGGATATCATCAGGTATGAGGTTACGAACGGGCTCAACCTGCGCAATCTAACGGACCGTCAGCCCGTTAACCACCTTTCGAGAGGGGGAGGAGGTGCACTCGGTGGGCTGGAGGACATCGATGCAGGACGTCAGGTCTGTACCTCCGGTGTTTGTGAATCTATTGACCTGTTTCTCAATCATTGTCAGCCGAAACGACGGAAGCACGAAGCGGGCAACACATCGGGAGCCGAAGGATCGCGGCCAAAGAGTAGGGGTACTACTCCAGGACTGATCGCCGCTGGGAATTGGGTGAGGTCGGATTCTGAAGTCGTGAACGTATCGTACTGATCAGATTTTTAGGCCGGGCAAGCAACGATCCCACATCGCAGTGAGGCAAGGCCTGTCTACTACCCTGACTCGCGGCGCACACAGTCGGTAGCACCCGTTGCGTTCAACAACACCATCGAATTCCCTACCGTGCGTCAAATGGCCGGACAGAACAGATCTCAATTGGTTGCTCCAGTGGAGTTTGCGAATCGTTCTCGCTCTCAGTCAGTTGCACCCGTAGGTAGGCTTCCCCCGGTCGTCAACTCGCGGATACATCAGCTTGAAATACACGGCCCCGCCGTTCAGCGTGCTCAAGATGGTGTACCGCAAGTGATCTGTAGGTCCCCTTGCGCGTTGAGTAGGAGAGACACTCACCTGCATCTAGCCGAGCAGCGCGGTGGTAGCGCACTACCGGGTTTCCCTGGCGCAAGCCGCGGTCAGTCGCAGGGAGGTCGAGCTCAGGCCAGCCGCCACCACGCGAACCTACCCGGACGCGTAGACGCACACCGTGAAGATCGTAGAATCAGGGCGGACCACGGGGACCGCCCCGTGCAGCGGCAATCCAATCGACCCGAGCATGCTGTCGAACGTGTCCGTCAAGGCCCACAGGCACCTCAATACAGAGGGATGCCAATGCCAAGCATGTTAATGCTGGGTGAGATGTCCCAACCGGGGCCTCGCAGTCGTGTCGCCGGCCAGCACGACGGTGTTCGGCCATCGCAGGGCGCACCTATGCCACGTAGGGCAGGCACCGGAGGTTCGAATGCACTTGCTCAGCCGTTGCCCAGTGTTTCAGAAGAGACTTCCATGCCGGTGGTAGCGAGCTCAAAGCCAAAGCCGCGCCCGGTCAACAAACGGAAGCGGGACGCGTAGATGTTGTTCGTGGTAGTCGTATATGATTTAGCATAACCTCTTTTGATATTATGTTACGCATGCTGTGTCTTTGCGCCGGTGTCTCTGAACACAGTGTCAGTGCCAATAATATGAGTAAGCAATTCCCATCACGTGGCACATCAATTGTTGGTAACCTTGCTGGCACACGCACGCGAGGGCGTCTTCACCTCTGCAATTCAACTTCACTGAGGCAAGGCCTGTCTAGATTATGCTCTTCGTACTATTCCGCGCCTGACAATTGTACTGTAGATGTCTAACGAGATTACGAGGGATCCCCGGATCGAGCCCATCCTCGATTTCTTCGGGCCTCTGCGTACCGGATGGCTGGAGTTCGTGCAATGCCCTGATAAGAGGGCTAATATTCTGGCCGGGCTCAAGGAAAAGGCTGGTCAGTACAGTGCCTGAATACTCTGAAACTCTGACTTCATGACAATCTGGCCGGATGACAGGCAGACCACCTTTCCACGTCGCCCTGGACCATCAGTGCCCGATGTGCAGTTACTATCTTCAACAAGCTGCCAACATTAGCAAGGAAAACATATACCTGCTGTTGGTGGTGTGCTTTCTCGATGCCATGAACTTCAAGTGGGAGGCTGGTGCGCATGACCTGCTGCATACACCCGCGGATAACCAAGCTATCCCCGCGTCCGCCCCCGACGAAAACGACGGCGATGTCAATCGTGGTACTTCAACTGCACCGGATACTGGTAGTGGTATGCTCGCATGCAGATTTTGCGTGCAGAGAGGATCGTGATAAACGTATAGTATCCATATCATGTCTCGCAGAACTATGAATGATAGATTACTTTGGCTTGACAGTGGTGCTGGTGGAAACTGGGACCCTGTTATGCGTTACTGTTGATCACGTGCTGAAACCAGCAGCTCGGCTGTTAGGCATTACAGTTTCTTTTGTACAGATCGGTACAGTAATGGCACTCCTTGACGCACCCTCACTCCTTGATGCAAACAGGGATTATGCATAAATGACGAACTTTCATACCACAAGAAGAATTCAGCAGGTAGATGCATATATGTTGATTCTAGATCTGAAATATCTTCCAGATCACCTCGGTCACCCTATGAAAGGTACCTTATTAGGTGTAATGTATCCACACAATAATTGTACCTAACTAGGTCGAAATCATGGTGTGCTACGGTCGTGCATCGGTAGTTCCCAAGCGCTGTGGGTGCCAAATGGGACTCCCACTGCCCTCACGGTGCTTTTTGCTTCCTGGCCACGCGATGGTCGTCTACGCTCTCACTGATTTTAACGTGGCATCTCCACTCGTCTGTGTTCTTTCATGCAACGTAAGCGCACTTGAAGCGCGCAAAATCCAGCTCCATGCACCTTACAACCAGTCCTTGCGGCGCCGGAAGCGTTTACAGGTATGCGGCGTCTCTCAGCTTTCGATCGGACTTGGAAAGAACTGACGGGGTGCAGTAGAGGATGCACAAGTCATATCGCGATATCTTGAGGGAAATGTCGGCCTCCGTGGTACCTCCAGTGGTTTACTCGGGTCGTCGTGGTACCTCCGGAGGTGGCAGGGGGCTCTGCGTACGTATGTCTGGCTTTCATACCGACGATACGGTCCAAGTGACAGCGACATGCTCGGATTAACATGCAGCGGGCGTTAGGGTCTCTTCAGATCTTACGGGGGCACTGTGTTCACCGCAATGCCACCTGCAGAATTATCTGCGTGGCCGGACACCTCGTTCCATACATGCAGAATTATCCCAGATGTGCGTCGTATCAGTCCATTCCGGTCAGACTACGGACCCGGGGCAAAACATTCCTACATACGTACCTCCCGAGTAGGAATCACTACGAGGATGCCGGAGTACCAGTGACATACTGGATCTCCCATGTACTTCATCTGCGCATACCGGTGGAGCTACCATCTCGTGCAGTGCCGGGTTTGGTGGTGCTTCCAAACGCCATGCAGGGGTTACCAGGCCATTGTTTGCGGGAAGGGCTGGTTCTACCACGGTCTGCGCCACGACGAGAGCGGGTACTACCAAACGGAGCTAGCCCGAACATGGGTGGTAGCTCCAGCGGCGCCGTGCTCACCGATAATCCCCGTGGTAGTACCGGTCCTATCATGCAACCGACATGGTACCACCGTGGCGTGACCGGAACCACCACCAAGCGTCGGGCGGCTAGCCTGCATCCATGGTGCTACCGTGCTTTGCCGTCCGGCCTACACGGTAGCACCATGGCATGAACTGGAACCACCACCGCATGTCGGGCAGCTAACCTGCATGCATGGTGCTACCGTGCTTTGCCGTCCGGCCTACACGGTAGCACCATGGCAGGGACTGGAACCACCACCGCATGTCCGGCGCGGCGCGTAAGTTCATGGTGTTACCACTCCACCCCTGGGCCATCTGGTACCACCGCGGCAGGATGAGCCACGCATCCTGGAACTACCAGGCTCAGATCCCGCGAGGCTGCCAACCATGGTAGCACCATGCCAGAGGCTACGCAATGTCGCGACACGATGTTATGGCATGCGTACAGTCCCGGCATCACAAGCAATCATGGCGGATGGAAGATCTTACAACACATGCTCAAGACGAAGACATCCGGGTTACAACAACACATGCATAGCACAAGGTAAAACATCGTTGTATAGGTGCAGTAGTGAAGTCCAACAATCTTGCATATGGGGGGCCACTGTTGGGCCACAAGTTTCCAACCATAACACGTAACATATTACATGTTTCCGCAGCTCGGAACACCCCCATCACATGCAGTTTCTTTTGCACAGACCGGTACAGTACACTGTATGCCAAGTGGGAACGATGACACAATGCACGTGGACTTCCATGGGCGCTCGGCCTTGCCCAAGTTCAGAAAGTGTCATTTACTTACATAAGCCCAAATGTGGCTCCAATACACTTATGTAACTGACTCAAGTCTTGCACGATCACCATGAATCCAGGCACGGCAGGTTGGCAATGTGATCAATCAGATTCCAGCACTGATACTCAACACTTATGTCAGTTTTCCCACTGTTTCAAATGTCACACTGCTGCATCCATTGCAATTTAAGCGCCTGCAGTGGTGGAATCACGCTTCATCATGCTTTCATCATGCTTTGGCAGGGTTACAGCCCCGTCACTGTGACAACTCCCAGTGCAACAGCCAATACCCACCTTCGGGGGAGTCGGGACAAGTTCAGTCTGGGGATCCAGAGGGTACGTGGAGAAAGCAATACTAAAGATAGATAATAAGGGTGGAGAAGCTGATGAACATTGGAGTTGAATCCGTGATGCATCAAGGACTACTGGGATATTGAGTCGCCGGAGAACTGGAACATGTGATATCTGACTTCTCAGAGCTGTAGGTCTGACAGTTGGTTGTTGGAGATGGGTCAGAGACTGCACGTGACATAGGGGCAGCAGATCTCTCTTGGGACAGCGGTGGAGACGCTGTTGCACAAGGCAGGGAGGCAACTGAAAGATCAAGTCTGAGTTGCTCCCTGGTGCGACAGGTGTGACTATGTAGTAGCTGAATAATCAATCAACAAAGGAGCGGAAGGTCCAATGAGAGTGAAGGAAGGTCCAATGAGAGTGAAGGAGGGTCCTCAGCAACCGGCACATGACTGGTGGGAGGGCCTAGGGTTCCTGCCCCAAGGGCAGAGGTCCTAGGGGCGCTGAGGCACAGAGGAAACAGGGGAACTTCCAAAAAGGGGGGGAAGGGGGAATAAGGAAGAGCGTGGGACGACATAACCAGAATGGGAGGGCGGAAGCATAGGAAGGAATGAGCAAATGGGGACAAGAAGCAGAACTAAAAGTGGAACACTGGGGCCATGAGGCAAGTGTGGGAGGTGTGCCCTGACATTGCTTCCCCAAGGGCCTCCACCACTTGCATGGGAACCCTAGGCCCTCCCGCCAGTTATGTGTTGGTTGCGGAGGACCCTCCTTCACTCTCATTGGACCTTCCGCCCCTTTGTTGATTGATTATTCAGCTACTATATAGTCACCTGTCACACCAGGGAGCATCTCAGACTTGATCTCTCAGTTACCCCCCTGCCTTGTGCAACAGGTATGTGTATTTCCCTTTGGCCCTTCATATACATACTCAGTTGCCTCCCTGCCTTGTGCAACAGCATCTCTGCCACCATCCTGAGAGCACATGCCCTGACAAAGATGGTCTATCACAGGGTGCTTCATTAAATTGGCAAACAGCATAGTCTCCCAGACATCACGAGCACAGAAACTGTTGCACTATGATCTACAGAAGCTGAGTATATGGTACTCGCTGATTGTAATTGTCAAATGCTCTGGATAAGAATGGAGCTGGGGTACCGGTTTGACCAATAGTCCATCTGCAGTGATAACCAAGGATTGATACTTAATGCATCTAAGATGGTTACTGAACCCTGCTCCAAACACATTGATGTGCTATATCACTTTATTCATGAGCATGGAAACAAGGAGCTTGAGCTGCTCTATATTGAATATTCTGAGAGCCATACTGCCATGTTCACAAAGAACTTGGGACATGAGAAGTTCCTGAAGATCAGACAACAACTAGGTCGTGTCTTCACATAACCTCTAAGTAGCATCATGTATGGCATTGAATCCCCTAATAATTGTCCTCCTGGTAACTACAGGCAGCGCAGCAGGCGCCGTGCATGATTTCGCATTGCCACTCATATCGGTACGCTCACAATCTGCTGTATGTGCCTGCAGACACCGGGGATTGAACCCTGGACCATCTGGAAAAAGTGCATGTATTAAACCACTACACCATGGGACAATCATTACACTGAGGATTGCCTTCCCCATGGCTGCACCTAAGCACCTCATTACACTTATGTGCCTACCATCTAAGCCAGGGGGAGTGTTGAGATAGGCACTGGCACAGCCACAAGCTGTTTCAGGCATATGGGAATCATATGCCTATTTGATGCATGTGAGAATCAAATACCTATTTGATTCCAGCAAGAACCACAGACAGGACTCCATCCATTCAGACATCCTAGCATATGATTGTGATTGCATAGCCATCCATTGTAGTTATACAGAGCTGTCTATGTGTTACAATTCAAGTCACTTTACTTCTGTCCTCCACAGGCTGAGACTCGACCAGGTGAGCTTGATGTTGCCCACCACTGTGTACGGCAGCACAGCTTTCACACAGTGGGTGGCCGGGATTAGGGTGGGCCAGTTGTGCAGAAGCAGGGAAGGCCCATGGTCATCTGCAAACTTATGCCGAGTGGGAACAATGACACAATGCATGGGAACAATGACACAATGCATGGGAACGACACAATGCACGTGGCCTTCATGGGCGCCCAGCCTTGCCCAATTTTGGAAAGTGTCATTTCCTTACATAAGCCCAACGCAGGCCCCAATAGACTTACGTAACTGACTCAAGTCTCACACGATCACTGGGAATCAAATCACGGCATCTCGGCAATGTGATCAATCAGATTCCGGCACTGATACTCATCACTTATGTCAGCCTTCCCACGTCTTCAAAAGTCACGCTGCTGCGTCCATCGCAATTTAGGCGCCCGCACTGGCGGAATCACGCTTTGTCACGCTTTGGCTGGGTCACAGCCCTTGTCACTGTGACAACTCCCAGTGCAACAGCCAACTCCCACCTTCGGGGGAGTCGGGACAGAAACTACGTCAGAATGGCCAAGCTGGTCGAAAGGAAGACTCACGTGGGGGTATGGCGCGCCATGGGCGCGCCGGTCCGACTCCCCATTTGACCATTTGACCATATGACCAGGCTGGAGAGGAATACTCTCCGATCTATACTAAAGGTAGGCGGCTACCGGGAGCCCGCAAAAAGAGCATTCATGGGTGTATTTCAGGAGCTGAACCGGCCCTCATCCACTATAAAAAATGGGAGATGGACCGGTGTTGGATCTCAGCCGGTCAGATACTTCAGTAGCGTATCATTGTATGGCCGCCGTCCATCGTGGAGTGCACGGCGGTTTCCGGTTGTAGATGTGCGGATGGGTGCAACTAAGGCATTTAACGTATTATCACATCACGACAATTACAGTGCACTGGTAGTGATATATCAAGTAACAAGAACAGTCACTGATTTGATGTTGAGCGAAATCTGAGAAGAACCGTTCTGCTTGATCCACATATTCGTCGTAAACTCAACCATAGAGATAGTCTCCTTCAGGTTGCCCTCAAAGGACATGAGCGATGACAGCCTGAAGTCCGGTGAGTTCGGTTGAACCTCGGACATGTCGCGCCCGTCATAAATCGGTACTATTATACGATGATTAACATAGAGAATTAGAACACCGAACGCATGGCAGGAGACTCACTCATGTCGCCATACTCCAGGAACGTAGAACTGTTGTTCCTTTTCAGTTGAGCGAATCGAGATCCACGGCTCTTGTTGACCGGAGGAGATTCACTCCCACCAGGGCGAGTGTTGAACTCGATGGTGCCGTCATAGATTGGAAGAGTGACTGTCCCAGAGGCATTAGCATTGAATGGAGACCATGAGAATTGCTCACGCTGATTTTTGTTTCCTGGATCGTACATCTCACCGAGCAAAGCCATGAAGCGGTTGAATTCGAAAGACAGGCCTATTCCTTTAACACCACGAATGGAAAACCCTGACTGACCCATTGATCGGCCGACGTTTCCAACATATTCTTCTTGAATAGGGATGATAAGCCAAAATAGGGCGGGAGTTCCTGTTCCGATCTTGTTCACAATTTTGCCTCCTTTACCGCTGGGTTGCACATGGAACCATCGAGGGTCGCATCTTGCTGCATTGGCAAAATCTTTGGTGCCAGTCGAGTTCAAGAGACGAACCAATTGTCTGCCTGCGTGTTAGCGTAAGTGGAGAGAAAGTAGCAGGGGTAGCGCACCTCATGTCGGGTTTCCACATTTTGAGCTCACTGGGATCCACGAGGGAGGGGTTCTCTGCCGCTGACATGTGCCACCTTATGTGATCGCATGAACAACAATGTCTGGCACGGATGGATAAAGACTACCGACTTTAACGGATAAAGGTTGGTGGCGTCGTATTGAAGTAGATCATCGAGGACGTCAGTGCCTTTGAAATGTTCATAAACCTCACAGACGATGAAGGATGATGAACCCGAGCTGATGTAAACGTCCAATTTAGTTCAACGGCGACAATTTTCATGATACTTACGTTGAAGGCTTCGGTTCGTCCGATTGGTTGGCGACGGGTCCTGCACCACTTTCATCCTTACTGGCTTGAGGAACATCCACAGACCCATCGGCACTGACATCGTCAACCGATTTCAACGCTGACTCATCGCTGCAAAAGGCAGCAGTAAGTGTAAGTACAACTGCACAATGTTATCACCATACGGCACAGTATACGGCGAAAACCGCTTGGAAATCCGACGTTTCTTGACCAAAGGTTCTTGATCTTCCGTAGCATGTGCATCGTCGGTGACAGGATCTAAGCCATCTTCGCTAAGCATGGACAAATCTTCATCATCGTCTCCAATCCTGCTGGAAATCCAATCAGACCCGTTCCAAGACGTGAGGAACATTGCACCCACCTATCGGGAACATCTTCGCCTTGTTTCTCGGACGGACCTTCACCATCGAAGTCTATCTCTGAACTGGCCAAGGTACGCTTTGCATTTCCCTTGGGGAGCGACACACTTTATTGCTGTGGGTGAGCGCACACATATATATGAGAGCATTACAGACATACGGAGTGGCAGGCATGAGAGGTGAAGACGCCCGTGGAGTTTGAAATCCAGCTTGCTGAGCTACAGAACTCTTATTCCTAATATTCCACGATAAGCATGCAGGTCAAAATGTAGGAGGGGAAGAAGCATAAAAGAAAACGTACATCCAAGCCAAAAATCCAACACGGTCTTCCTCAGATAGGAGACTGCAGAGATATAAGTCCGAGGAAGTTTGGTGGCTGGAAGAACCCACCTGATAAATTGATTGACATGAATCGGTGACAGGGCTTCGTTGGCGGAAGGGCGGGCATCTGAGGTGCCCCCAGTGCTTCATGATCAAAAGTTAGTGTATGGGTCAGAAATCCTGAGGGTCATAACACACCGGTCCTGCGAAGTGACACTTGAGGATGTGGGACCGGATGCTGGTGGCGCCACTGCAGCAATAGCCGCAGTCTTGCGAGCCCCTCGTTGGTGTAGGACTTCGGATCGGCTGCGGGCTGGCGGTTTAGCGCCAGACGCATTGTCGGTGTTGGACTTCCTGCCTCGGGTGGAGCGTCTACGGCGTTGGTTAGTAATATACCAGAAATACACATGCCAAACTGCATACCGATTGCTCTGACCGCTCATTGTGTGCCAGGGATTTGAGGAAAGTGCACGCAGTCTTGCGCTGGGACCGTCTCCTTTTATGTCTTCAAACCAGGTTCTAGACCAGCTTAGGAGGTATGACAAACCCAGCGGGCCGAGGTCGCCGCAGCATGATCGCCGGCACAATCCTATGGCGAAAAGGAGTGTTAATCCAAGATTCAGCCCAGAAGGTAATGGACATTGCGTGGATCAGCGGCAGGGGATCACTCACTTTGAGGCGCCGGGTGAGCTGCATTTGTGGTCATCCGGAATTCTCTAGATCCATATTCACGCATCATGGACGTTGCCAAGGAGAGGATGCGGTCATCATGGGGAAATGAGAGCATGGAAAGCACGAATTAAACAAATCTGTTATGCATCAGGAGGCGGAAAGTGTGAAAGCAGATGATCCGTATAGGCACGTGAACAGGTTACAAGCGGTCCAAAGTGCATTGGGTGGGCCACCCTGGCTTTCCTCTGACTCCACGACGTTGCCCAAACCGCGGACTTGGAGCGGCAACAATCGGAAACATGCACAGCGACAGGGCCAGAGGATTGGCATACTTGAGATCACCTGTTCGCCTCAATCACCACTCGCGCCCTTGCCCCTCAACATTTGCCATTCTTGCCCATGACATCCCCCCTCAACTATTCGGTCTTCAACATCGCTGAGGCAGGCACGTTCATGGATTACATACTATACTCCAACAGCTGATGTCCCTCCAGCTAAACAGCTTGATCTCTGTATAGAGCTCAGCCAGTCTGATGTTCACCGCCATGGAACTTTGTTGGATATACAACAGGTACGTTTTTCACGCTACCTTCCTGTTTGGCTGCTCATTATCTTCCAGTCAATAATCGATCACGACACTTTTGTCATCACTACTGGCATCCCCTCCCGGCCACGCTTGGTTCAGTTTAATGCTGCATCCAAAGTTGGATCCATCGAAGCGTTTCATGAAGTAACATGTACTATGCTGGGCATTGCTGAGTCATGCCTTCTTCTCCCATTCAAGAATCCGTACGTCATCCACCGGCCTCTATTGTACCGATTACTTACCAGTGAATTTGCAGGACATCTGGTAGCCCAATGCTTCTGGAACAGAGTATTACCCTGACCGGGTTTGGCTCCTCTCAGTTCGAACATTCGTTGGCATCGCTACCTGTCGTGTATTCCAGTTTCGAGGAAGGCATCCCTGCAGGCAGTCTTGATCGGCTCCGGTATGAACGAGTTACGGTGGACAACAATAACTATCCAGCACTATCGGTCAGGAATCCACTTTTCACCCACAAGAATTCACCAGGCATGTCGGAGCATGCTATCGACGTACCTTTGACGGCCCTTCAGGATCCTTCGGGGCGGCTGCGCAAATTCAAAGGTGCCCACAAGCACCTACAGGACAACGAAGTGCAGTTCCTTCGCCCGTACACCAACCCTTCTACAGGAGAGAGGTGCGCTCAAGGACTCTCCGATTCCGCCATTCATTACTGACACATACTCAGGTTTATGGCACCCATGGGTCCTGGCATGATATGGCCTGGGGATATCGTGGAGGTTCTGATGTCATTCTGCGCTATGCCATACAACAAGGGGTTTCGCTTCCGACCAGTTCTCCGCACCATAACCATTGTTGATAGCCGCCTCAGATTGGTATGTACGTCACTGCATCAACGATGGGAGTCTTACGATGATATTGCACAGGCGTCTCGTTGTGCCGCTCTGATCCGTACAATCCCAGGAAGTGGGGTCCAGCTCCAGTCAAAACGCGACCGAGATGACGGAGATGATGGTCAACCTGAACGTGCAGTCAAGATTCTGGTCTCCAGCCTATCGTCTATGTCGGTGGACAAGGACTGATTACTGTTTCCATTTGTATTACGATATTATCCCCTTAATACATGTGCATCCAGATTTTTGCCCTGCATCATCCATGTTGGCGTCATCCCGCATAGTGAACTACTTCCGCCATGGCCGATCACTCCCGTTTCTTTGTCCATTGTCTATAAAAAAGGGATCCAACACAGAGTTGCACAATAGAATCACCATGACATCCAGCTTGCAACGCTCAACACGTTTGAAGTCTGTGATGCCAATTTTCCGATGACTGAATGATCTAACTTGGTAACCAGGTATGCAGCAGCAATATCCAGACGTATAAGGATTTCGTGCGTACTTTACGGCCCGCATATTCACATGCTAAATACATCTGCCCAGTGCATCTGCTGGCGGCTTGAGTACACTGGAATCCATACCTAAACATACAAGATCGTGAGTAACAGTCTCCGCATTCGTTAGCGTCAGCATCATCTAACCTAAAATATGCACAGCCTCATACAAATTCTACAAGATTACGATGGCGGTCTACTCTTTGCCAATGCAGCCACACAAGATCCTAACCACTATGGAATCCGACCCTTCCCATCCCTGTCTAGGTCACTCGGCATTGTTGCACATTACGAAGAATGGATGCCTACGTTCTTTGCCGTTGGTGCAGTGCTGAGTTCTCACTTATGCACCATAGCATGGGACTCTGGCAGCATACAGGACCCTATATCAGGAGCTCCCGTTCATGGTTTGGATGTGTTGATCTCCAATGCTGTAGCCTTGCGGGAACAGCAGTTCTTCGCTACTATTTTCTCCACAGTCGACGGTGAGCATTATCTCGGTTTCAAAATTAGTGGCACTGACACTGCGTAGTGTCTTCATATCCCACCAACACTCTCCATCTGGCTACCCGTCCAGCAGGAATATGTAATTACGAGAAAACCATCGGGTGGTCGGAACCATCAAACCCATTCTTTCGACAGGGTAATCGCGGTCGGGCAGTTATCGGAGACCGAGGGGTATATGGAGCCCTTGATTACGAGCAGCCAAGTAGGTCTGACATTGTCTTCTTGGGGCGAAGCCTGACAGGTTGTCAGCTCCAGTTTACGATGGATCCTCCCTTTCGGCGCTAGCAGGGGTTCACTCTCCTCTTCAAATTCATCATCGCCTACAGCCGTACATGCATCCCATCAAGCCTGGTGATGTAGTCCTGGTAGAGTATTCTGTGACCGCGCATTTGGTTGATAACAGATTTGCCAGGGAAAACAATATTCTGTCCGTAGTAGTACTCTGGTCTGCATAGTTCACGTTGTACGGCTGGAAAGGGTGAACAAATATATTTTAACTAAAACGTTCCCCTGGCAGTATAGCGGTACAAATTGGAAAGTTTGTCTAAGTTAACGTACGAGGGATATTTTGTCAGCATGTTCACGATGAAGCGGTCAGTGAAGCAAGTGAAAACCATGCGCTTTCCCTTCAGGACAGTAGTTGCGCAGTGAATGAGGCGGCGAGCTAGAACAAACAACACATCACCCTCCTCCAGTTTGATGCGGTAGCCGAGCTGCGGCAGGTTAAAATCCCCGCCCTCCCACCCTCCGTCCTGGTCGCTGACACAGAAAATGATGGCATACAGACGAGAGTCATCGTTCCAATCCAGATGCCAGAGCTCGCTACTCCCGATGTTACACGCGAGCGTGAAGAAAGCTCCGTCCATGTCGAGCCAGGGGGACTTCTTGAGTTCTTCCCCTAGCACTGCACGAACGTGGTCCCTGACCCTGAGTTTATGTTGAGATTAACTGACACATAAGAGAGACGGAAGACATACATTTGCTTGACGACAAACTGCGGGAAGGCATGGTATCGAAGTAAAGAGTTGATCGTCGGGGCAAAGTACTCCTGAAGGTACTCAAACATATCCTGGATAGCGGCCTTGGTCTCTTCGGATTGACAACGTGTATCCCTGCTGACACGAGGTACCGGCGAGTAGTGAGCCCAGATTCCGAGATGAAGGGCTTCGGCAATGTCGGAACGGGGATTCTCGACGTCGGGCTTGGTATGACGCTTCGGTTTTGTATCTTCGACCCTCTGGTATCGGCGACCCAGTTCGCGGCAGAAGATCTGCGGGTAGACTTTCTTGAACACGATGGCGGTCTCCATAGGGTAACCCTTCGGAGGGCGGACAATGCCAAGCTTGACGGTGAACGCAACACATATGCCTTCCGCGATGGGGAGAACGGGTAGCGGAAGCTTTGAGCCATAAATCTTCTTGAACTTTTTGACGGCGACAGCGTTCGAACGACAACCCTTGAAGAAAAGCATCGGATACTTGGCAAGGTGAATGCGCTCTAAAAGTACACGAGTTAATGTGTAATTAAGTAAAAACAGGGCTGACTTACGAGTTTTGTAAGTATCTCTCCGGATAAGCGACCGCTCGAGGGCGCCAGACACAATAAAGCGACGGTTCTTTCTCCTGCGGCCCTCTCGCAAGCGTCGCCCGTGATGCTTCCTCTTCAGTTTCAGAGCAGCTGCCCGCCACATCAACGTCAGTAGACACGACAACAGCCCATGTGTAGATCTGCACTAACACGAGAAGTCCGGCGCAGGAGCCTTGTGACGGTTGCGAACACGTTTTTTCTTGACCTTAGGCGCATCTGGTGGGATATTAAGTATTTCCTACGGAAAGAAAAGGAGCATTAAGAGCCCGTACTGGTTACAGCCATGGAAATAGATGCTTGAGAATGTGGCGAGGTGCTGGTCAAAGGAGAAGGCAATAATACGTGGCACGACGCGGAGATCGTGTCACTTCATTGCGCATCGAGAGGCCGACTGGACGAAGCCTGCTGAATTCGATCCTTGCTTTTCGTCCAATCCATCCATGCCTGGTACGTGCAGCAACTACGGTTGGCCTGATGACCTACTAAACGTACAAGTCTAGGTTGCACAATCATCAAAGACCATTCGACTTAATGGCACCTATCAGAGACCCAACACATGTGTCATTTGTACGCACAAGCGCGAGAATGCCACGGCGCAAGCAAATGGTGTAAGTATGAGTGTTCACGATAGGAGACGATGGGTTGAGTCGTAGCATGCTCAGCGAATGGCACGCGCTGTTTGTGATGAGAAGAGAAGGACAATTTATTTTCGCATTTTTCATTTCTAAATATGGACTTATCATTTTCCTTTTCCCACCTTTCCTTTTCCAAAGTCACGTGACCTTCAGTGGCAGCAGTACAGCATCATTGACACTGCCCTGCACTGCCTTGCACTGCCTTGCACAGCCTTGCACAGCCCTGCACAGCCACCGGAGTTTTATTCCGCTTACTCATGAACAATGACTCGTTATTCCTTCTAACTCCTTGATTCATAATCCTGACCCACCTAAGTGGGTCGGTCTTACTCATCCTTGTGCCCTGCATGTGATTCTCTTGTACTATTCTTGGACCATGGATTTGTGTATATAAGATCCCTGTA